ATGAAAAAAAGGAAGAATGGGTTAACTACATAAAAGAGCTCTTCCTAGATACGAGGCCACCACTTAACGCCACAAAGTATACGAATACTGGTCCTAGTATTTTAAAAGCAGAAGTAGAGAAAGTCATCAAACAAAGTAAAAATGGAAAATCTCCAGGCCCTGACCAAATACCATCAGAGTGATTTAAACTTCTAGACGACGACATTGTCTCAGAACTAACAAACATTTATAACCACATATATGAAACTGGAACACTGCCAGAAATATGGTTGGAGTCTACATTTATCACACTCACAAAAAAAACCTAATACATCATCATGTAAAGACTTTAGACTAATTAGTCTTATGAGTCACTCTCTCAAACTACTTCTTAGGATAATTCTTAATAAAATCAAGCAGAAATGTTTGAAAATCAGTATTAGTAAAACCAAGTCCATGAGAATAAATGCAAGGAACAACACGCTATTTACTATCGACAATATGTAGATTGAAAATGTGGAAAACTTTACGTATCTTGGAAGTGTCATAACAGAAAACGGATATACAGAAGACGATATTCGTATGAGGATACGAAAAGCCCAACAAGCTTTCAGCACGCTTAACTCTGTTTGGAGATCTGGCGGGTGGTATACTACAAGGACAAAGATCCGAATATTTCGATCAAATGTCATGTCTGCTCTACTCTACGGATGTGGAACCTCGAAAGTGACAAACACCCTCACAGACAAACTGCAGGTCTTTGTTAAAAAATGTCTTCGAAGACTTGTCCAAATATTCTGGCCTAACACCATCAGAAACGAAGATCTGCTACACCTGACCGAACAAAAGAGAGTACAAAATGAAATTAAGTCCAGAAAGTGGGGTTGGATCGGTCACACACTCCGAAAAAATAGTTCCAGTATCGCAAAGACTGCCTTAGAGTGGAATTCAGAAGGGAAAAGAAAAAGAGGTAGCCCAGTACAAACTTGGAGAAGATCCATCATGGACGAGGTAAGGGGCCAAGGAAAGTCTTGGAATGAGGTGAAAGCCTTAGCGCAAAATAGAACCCGATGGCGCGTTTTCACTGAAGCTCTACGCTCCACTTAGAAGTTCAAGAACCTTATATATATATATATATATATATATATATATATATTATATATATATATATATATATATATATGCCTATGTAAATCTTTATTGCTTTTTGTATTTTTCTTATGCTAATATCCCTAAGTGGTTGAAGCAAAATAAATAAAAAAAAATAGAACTCTACGAATTACCGAATATTTTTTGCACCATATAATCTATTATAACAAATAATAAACTTATTTAGTGTACAAAATAAAAATATTTTGAAATAAGTATACTTTCTCCTATGCAAAAGAGGATTTAGCAAAACAAATACATGGTACTATAACAAACAAAGGAAATATTAAGTCGACTTTACAATACATGATTTATTATATGACAATATCATATGAGATTTGTTATGATTCATCCATGATTCCTCGTTTCTATAATATTTTTAAAAATCGTGTTTACACTGAATGATAAGTTATGACTTATGATATGATTGACAATGAGGTTTTATTGATTTTGGTTTTGGTTTGTGGTCATAGAGATATTAGACGCAGTTATAGGTAACAACTATTAGATTTTTAGACTATTATAATGGAAAATAAATCTTTGCTTGCATTGGCTTCCCGACTTTTATTAATAAATACGCCAACAACAACTGCGTACAGCTGAAAAAGATCGCTCGCAGGTGGCTTTTACGAAGAAATAATAGACGGGTATATCAAATTTAGTGTTGATATTATACCAAATTAAAAATAATTAATAAAGAAACTAAACTATAATTATTACTAAGAAGGCATAAATCTGCTGGTGTTAGCGGTATTATTACCGAAAATCATATGATTTTATCATGCGGAATAGGTACCGTCCTATTCTCCTGTGACAAGCTATGACGAGCATGACATGACAGTGCTTATGACAAAATCATATTACAGATCACAAAGTGTAAACATGTAAATTTCACTCCATGACCAAATCATATGACAAATCACATGATAAATGATGTAGTGTAAAGTCGACTTTAGTAATTTCCAACAATTCATTCAGTTATGCTATTAGGTATTCATGTCCTGCAGAACAAAATTAGAACTATAATAAAATAAACAGCGTGATTAATACAAATATTTACTAGAATAAATATGTTAAATTATAACTGAAATATATTTTTTAAATATATACTACCCGAATTTTATAGATCCGTTATTTGTAATAACTCTTCTTTTTTTTATTGAAAGGGTCTATAATAAAAGTTTATTTAAGCTGTTTAAACTGTGAGATAGGAACTTTTGTGTTGTAGGTTTCCAGCTATGAATCTGTCAAAATATGCCCGAACTAAGCGAATCTGCCTTAGTAATAAATATAGCTCCTTGATAACAAATGTGTATTGCTTAATTTCTCTTATAATCTCCCTTTCTTTTGGGAAATAACAAAACAGTTCTGACAGGAATGTAGAGCGACTATTATATACGGTGTGATTGGTGAAAACAGTAATGAAACCATGCTAAAGGCATTGCTGCTTGAAAATGTCTAATGCATAAATAATTTTGTAGGAGATATTTTAACATATAATGTCACAGAGGACTCGATAATAGTAAAAGAGTCAAGTGTCTGATATTAAAATCCATTATCACATCTGCTCTTGAAACAATGCAGTCAACTATTAAAACCCAAAACATATAGGGGAAGGGCGGGTAAAATGGCATAGGCGGGCAAAATGGTTTTTTGTTCTCGTAGTCAACCTAACGGTTCTACGTCACCGTAATTCTGGATACTTATTATAAACAGTCGCAACACTGTCCACATTAAGTCTTGTGGACCTAATTTAACGGCCGGCCACGAGATTGGTGTATTTGTAAATAAGTGCTTGTCGAGTTCGATGCGTCAATGTAAGTTTTATTCAATAATTTATTAAATTAAGGTTATAGAGCTTTTTGAATTCACTTTTTGGTAATTATGTTTTATACGCTGCATGAGTCCTTAAATAAAAATTGTGTTTATTTCCATTATTAATTTTTTTCAACTATCATTAGTCGGCAAATACAAAACGGGCAAAATGGCATAGCATTATGGCGGGCAAAATAACATACTATGCCATTTTGCCCGTCTGTTTTTCAGGTTAAATAGTTTTTTTTGCAGATGCTTTATTCATATAAAAGGAAGTCTAACCAAAATAGTTGGAGTGAGGAAGACATGCAAAGAGCTTTGGAGACAGTCCGAAATTCCGAAATGGGTTGACTTAAAGCAAGCAATACATTTCATGTACCGTTCTCAACACTATGACGTCGAGCAGATAATAAAAATAAAATTGCCATTGAAGCAAAAACATTTGGGCGCCCTGGCAACAGTTTTAAACGAAGATATGCAGACTGCAATAGTTGCCCACATTCTGTATCCTGAATCCCGTTCAAAATACCATGATATTCAACATGGACGAATCAGCCTTGACCACCGTCCAAGTTCCGCCAAAAGTCTTTGCTCAGAAAGGAAAAAAATAAGTGGGCTCTATCACGAGCGCAGAAAGGGGTGTACACACAACAGTTGTAGTGTGCATGAGTTCTGGAGGAACTTATCTACCACCATCAATAATTTTCCCCCGAAAAAGATTTAACCCACTTTTATATGACGGCGCACCTATAGGAATATTAAAATTGCATAATGAATCAGGATACATGAGGAGATTTGTTCATAAAGTGGATGCAACATTTTATTGACCATGTCAGGCCGAATCCTGCGCAGAAAGCATTATTAATTTTAGACGGACACTCCAGTTATAAAAGCTACGAAGCTTTAGAATTATCTAAACAGAATTCAGTGGTATTACTTTGCCTGCCTTAAGCCATTGGATGTTGCCTTTTTCGGACCACTCTACCTGGTTCTACACTCTGCCTGGTTCTACTAATAAACCTGACATTGCTTCTACATCTTTACCTGCTGATGTTAATGTTCCTCTAAGAAAATCTACCAAACGTAAATCTGGTCAATACCAAGATGTATTAACCGAGAGCCCCTTCCTGAAATATCTCTGCGAAAAAGAAAATGAAAAAAAGCACAAGAAATAAAAAGCAGAAAAGGGGACGTCGTGAAAAGAAAAATAGTCAATGATTTAAGTGATGGAAGACGCATTGTGAACAAAGATAGACATCAGTTGGAGAGAAAAGGCAAGAGAAATATTGTGACCAGACCAATCCTGAACAATATATCAAGTCATGAAGAAGAACCCTTTAGTATTGATGATGATGAACAAGAGGACTGCGCTTGCATTTACTGCAATGATACGTTTAGTAGGTCCAAATCTAATGAAGGATGGTTAAGATGCCAAATTTGCCAAAACTGGTCACATTCAGAATGTGCTGGACTTCCCAAAAAAGCAAAACAATTTATTTGCGAACTTTGTATGAACTAAAATGTTTAATTTCAATTTTTTTTCTTCGTAAAAATAAAAATTTATAATTATTTTTGTATTTAACACTATTGTTTATGTGTATGCCATTTTGCCCGCACTGGGCGGGCAAAATGGTTTTTTGTTACATTTTGATTTTGATTTTTTTTTAAATAAATCTCTTTGTATGAGTGATTTTTTGTTACTTAGAATAGTAGAAAAATGACCTGGCTATCATTATACATCAAAAGGAATGATTTATCTCTATTTATGTCTCAGATATATGGACAATAAACTAAGTATGCCATCTTGCCCGCCCTTCCCCTATTGAAAGGTAACAATTAAAATCCAAGAAAATAGAATATCAAGAAAATAGTAAGGGATATTTTTTATCTACATAGTATAGTCGAAAGAACTATGATTACAAAGTAAAAGGAAACGTAATAAATTTCACATGTAATATAAAAAATGTAATGTTCTTAAGTTTGTAAAAGGAAATACAAATTAAACTGTTTTCTAATAATTCATTACTCATCTTCAACTTCATTACTGTATTACATACCTGTTGTATGATTTTTAGGTTTCCTTGTAGTTATGGGAACCCTTTCCACAATAGTGTGCCCTTTATCTTTCATTTTGTCACCAAGAAAACCATTGGGATCCACTGCACTTTCGTTAAATGGATAGTCAATGTATTCATCATAAAAGTATTCAGATTCTTCGGGGTTTGGGGCTAAATGATTTTTTCCTCGTGATGAATTCGCTGGGAACAAAAAGTAATTACAGCAATATAATAAACTAAACAGCTCGACCAAATGAAAAACAAAATTGGTGCTGGACGTGCGTAGGCGCAAAATTTCGGGCCAATGCTTTTTAAATGCATTCATTTTTTTCGAATCCTGAGAAAACTAATAAGTAGGTATATTTAAAAAATTTCAACGCAGAATGAAAGAATACATTATTACTGAGGGCCAAAAGTCCCTGAAAACTTCCATAATGTTTATTTTAATAAGTTACAGGGGTGAAAAAGAAGAGAAAATTTAGTGTGATTTTTAATTTCAAATATCTCATTCAAAAAAAAACTTTTTGTTTATTCTAAGGGACTTTCCACCCTCGGTAATAATGGAATCTTTCATTCTACGTTTAAATGTTTCAAAAATATTAATTATTTTTCTCAGAATTCGAAAAAAATGAATGCATTTAAAAAGCATTGGTCCGAAATTTTGCAGCTACGCTCTTAGTGCTAATTTAAAAAATATTTTGTTCTTTTTTCGTACCAGCTCTAATTTTTTTTAATCGATTGTAGGGTTTTAACAAAGAGTGAAATTAAGAAAATATTTTGACAGATAGAAAACAAAAAAAAAACATTGCTTTTAAAATTAAATCCAATTACATTGTTTTGATATTTGGAAATTTTTATGAACAAAATCCAAATTTCCGATACTTCAAGAATCCTCACGAGCGCATTTCACCAGCTGGGCTATATACTTATACCCCAGTTATCGAAGAAAAAAAGCTGAAAAAATCTTGTACAGATATTTGAAGGTTCTAAAAGGTATATGAGGGGTAGCTGATGAAAAATCGGTAAGGATGTACAGCTGATTTTGTTTTGTTTTTTTTTTAACCCTCCATCACCCGTACCTCAAAAAATTATATGGATATAACATATGGATATATGTCAAATAAATGAGTCATTAATACTTATTAGTTAAGTTTATTGGCTATTAACTCACAAAAAGCGATAAACTTATATTTTCTTAAAACAAAACTACAAAAAAAAACTACTAGGTAAACTAAAAAATATACACATTACCCTAGAACAAAACAAATAAGGGGATTTATTCAAAAAACAAATGTACGCATTACGTATAAAATTAGATTTCTTCCTCTTCTAGGCAGTGGTGGCAAGTAAAATTTGTTAAACCAGTGTGCTCTTTACATATCGGCAACTTATAGTTAGTACAATAATGTTGTGTAAATCTTTTCTTCCTTACAGGGCAAAAAGAACATCTTGGCTTCATAGTTTGAGTTGCCCCTTGAGAAACTGATGGCTTTTCTTCGGTTATATTTCGGATCCTGAGTCTTAACTGAAAAGGCAGATTTGGGATATTGGAACGTCGTTGAAGATGGGACGTTAAAAGGTGCTTGCCAAGCTCCGCAATGAAGCTTCTTGGAGATGTTACAATATTAGTGTTATTGTTGTAAATTATTTGGCTGTTTATGGTTGAAATATTTAGTAGGCTGCAAAAAACAGTAAACAGCCAGCGATTGCTAAATCGAGTCACCGAGTATTCTGCCTTCATTTTATCAGCAACATCCTCTCCGCCTTTTGTGAGGTTGTAATCAGTAATAATCTCTGGCTTCATGGTATGCTCTTTGATGTTTTCATCAATGAAAGCATCGCTGTGTAGTGTTAAAAGTAGCACATATGATACAAGTACACACTTGTTTCCATTGTCACCATATGCAAACATGCTACTACATAAAGGTCTTCCTTTTACGTTTGTCAACTCAGGGGGAATTTGTTGTTTGCTTTTACGCAAAGAGTAAAGGTAAAGGTTTGGATAAGGTACAGAGAAAATCTCCGTAAAAAAAGGAGTAATTATCCCTAGTTACATTTCGACTGGTTCCACAAATGGGTCGTATAAGTCTTTTTACTACACTAAATGCATCGTTGGCTAGTTGATATGGTATTTCAGGTTGTTAACCGGGGTAAATTTCGGTATTTTGTGAGAAATGTTGTAGCGTCCATGAAGGCATAAATCTTGATTCCGTATTTCGCTGGCTTATTGGCTATATACTGCCTAAATTTGCATCGACCACGGAACGCTTTCAACATTTCATCTATGGTCACATAGAATCCAGGAGTGTATTCAGATAGACAGTTAGTGACAAACATTTTATATATTTCGAATGGGTGCAAGATTATCAACTGCCGAATTTTCTTGCCTTTTAGTGGCGTCGTCAAATCTTACAGCTTGAATTGTTTGGTGAAATATTTTCTTTGACAAAGTAGCTGCAAAAATATCTGGGGCTGTGTTATCTAATTTCCAAAGTTTATCAGTATTTAAATGTTGCACTTTCTTTACCCCAGCAAGGAACAAAAGTCCGATGAATGCTTGTATTTCCTCGTAATTAACAGCAAGACAATTACTTCTTCTTCTTCTTCTGGTTCCTATCCGTTTCGGATGTTGGAAATCATATTGGCAATCATAACCTTGCTCGCTGCGGCTCGAAACAGCTCCGTTGAGGTTTTCTTAAACCATGTTCTTAAATTCCGCAGCCATGATATTCTCCTTCTACCGGGTCCTCGCTTACCTTTGACTTTACCTTGCAATATAGACTGCAGCAGGGAGTAACGGTGCTGATTTCTAATAACGTGTCCCAGATATTGCAATTTTATGCGTTTTATCGTAAACACAATCTCTGGTTCCTTCTTCATTTTTCCTATAACTTCCTTGTTTGTGATCCTTGCTGTCCATGATATTCTCAGCACATTCTTCTATAAAGCCACATCTCAAATGCTTCAAGTTTTTAAATAGTGGTGTCTGTAAGCGTCCATGCCTCCGCCCCGTACAACAACACAGAGAAAACATAGTATTTCAAATGTCTCAGGGATATGTTGTGACTTTTAAAGATGGCGTTTATTTTGTTGAAGACCGTTCTTGCCTTTCCTATGCGGCACTTTATTTCCTGTACATTGCTCCACTGTTCGTTTATAATAGTTCCCAGGTAGCAATACTGTTTTACTCGCTCTATCTGCGTCCCATTAATGTATAGATGAGCCCCGTTTATATTCTTCTTGCTGATAATCATTTGTTTCGTTTTGTGGGTATTAATGTTTAGTCCGTACTGTTGACTGTACTCGTTTATTCTGTCCATTAGCCTCTGAAGTCCCTCTAAACCATCTGCTATCACCATGCTGTCGTCGGCAACATTGTTTACTCTTTCACCATTTAGAAGGATGCCTTTGTCTATTCCGTAAAGAGCCTCGTTAAAATTTTTCTCTGAGTACGTATTAAATATCAACGGCGATAGGATACCTCCCTGTCTAACTCCACGTAGTATTTTTATGTGATCTGTTTCTTCTCCGTTAATTTTCACGTATGCGGTCTGATTCCAGTAGAGTTCTGAAATTATTCTGAGGTCTTTATCATCCAGGTCTGCCTCTTTTAAAATGTTTATCATCTTTTGATGTTGAACTCTGTCAAATGCCTTTTCATAGTCGATCAAGCACGCGTATACGTCGCAGTTAACGTTTCTGCATCTTTAATCAGTACCTGTACTCCGAAAAGTGCCTCTCTAGACAATTACTAGGGCGAGTATAAAACACTCTTATCATATCCAGTTTTTGATTTATATATTTTACAATATTATTGATCATAGCATCCGAGAAAAACAATTTCCAGCATTCTAATATGGTTTTGGTGCCTTTTGCTTTTGCTTTAACCCCGAGTAAGTTCGTAACAACATTACAAGCTTTGGTCTTACCTTTGAGAGTGTGTTTCTTATGTTTTATCCTTGCCATAAAATCTTGGATAACCATCATCTTGGCCACTTTTTTCCATGGCATCTTCAGGATCTTCAGGGTAGATCTTATTGCTATCTATATCTTCATACCATTTTAGTAATTAGCATTCCATTTTCTTGTCCATATTTACCTGCAATAAACCTATAGGATGTTCAACAATCTATAGGTATTTCACACTAAAAATCTTACCTTTTATGATAATATTATAACTTTTCTTAACTGATCTCTATAAAAATCAACACACGCCAACACTCGCGTAGTTAGATTTTTTCTAACGCTTCAACGAACGCGATCGCTCCTTCACTAGCAGTAATTTGTCGCTTGTAGCGGTAATTGTCATTTAATCGGATATTTTTGTTGTTGTTTGTTTATTTCTCTGTCTTTGTTAAGTTGTATTATAATATTAGTAATGGAAACATAATATATGAAATCTGAAATCTTACGTTAAGGTAATTGCTATTTTTCTTCTGGGTTTAGGTTATCACGCATTGATGTATCCTGTTTTCGTATGATAGCTTCTATTTCACATAATAAGAAATTAAAAGAAGACACTCACATCCTGTAATACTCAAAAAACTTGTCAGGATATTCTTTTAATTTGTTGTGTAAGCGAACAAATATTCCCTCTATCTATGTAGACACTAGAACAGGGTGAATCCACCATTTCCGTTGTTTTTTAACCCTACGTCGACGGCGCAATGCCAATATTAAAGCAACTTTTTGTTGAAATGATAGAATATTTATACTATATTATTGTATTATCGGACTGAATTTATTTTACTTATTTATTTACTATACAGGGTGAGTCATGAGGAACTTTACATACTTCTACCATATGTAGAGTCCCTCAGGGAGCATATCATGTGGCTACTAAAAATTTCAACTCCTCTTCTTTATTATTTAACAGGGTGATTTGTGTAATTGACCATTTATTTCATTTTACTGTAGTGTTTATACGGCTTATTTGATTTTTTTTAATTTTTGCATGATACAGTACACTACTATCAAGCATTCGACTGGTATTAGCTAAACTAAAAAATTCCAGGACTGGCTTTGGAAAAATTAATTTAGGCATTCGTATTAAATATTACACCCTGTATATATATATTTTTTAAAATGCAATAAGTGATTTTCAAACTACATAAATAGCCAATGAAAACGACATATGCGACAATGTTGTCGCACTTTTATTAAATTTTTAGTGAACGATCAAATCTTACCAAAAATAGAACAACCATAATGAAGTATCAAATTCTAAGGTATTAATTTAAACTATAAATTTCAAACATTTTAATTAAAATGAGTTCCTACAACATAATCTAATACGTAGAAAATTAAACATCTTTACTGTCACTTTGTATTATCTCTACGATAGAATCAATTGTTTTTCAATTTTAAATTTTCACTCATAGATCGTATTGGGGCATTATTTTCGATAAATAATAAATTAAATTGATTAAAAAGTCAAACCTCTTGTATGTGTTAGTTTTTGTTGATTGTAAATGATTAAAATTTTATGTCAAATAATAATACATTGCATCAACTTTACTAAATAAAAATAAATCTAAAAAAGTTTAAAATGAAGGTTGGCGTTGACCGTTTGACGTTTCTTGATATTTTATACCCATTGTCATTATCAATTGTTATTTATGTGTACAAGAATACATATTTGTTCTGTCATATCTACGTTAAGTACATTGTGTTAGTTTTGTTCCTTTCGTTTAAAATGCCACATCAGTTTTCGACCACAGAATATGCAGACATAATATTTGTTTATGGATTCTGTAATGGGAATGGTAGGACTGCTAGTAGATTATATCGCAGGAGATTTCCTAATCGTCGAACTTCCAGTCATCCAACATTTGGATCAGTTTTTAATTATTTGCGAGAAAATGGCACTTTTCCTAGTGGAACAACAGAGCGACATGTAGATGAAGCGCAGGAAGATGACATTATGGACGCCGTTACTATGAACTCTACAATAAGCACTAGACAAGTAAGTCGAGAACTCAATGTTACTCAATCAAAAGTAAGTAGAGTCTTACAAAAAAATAATCTATACCTATATCACATTCAAATGGTTCAGCGACTACATGCTGGAGATGAGATCGATAGGTTGGAATTTTGTAGATGGATTAACAATAATCCACCAACGCTGTACAGGACACTATTTACAGATGAAGCTCAATTTACCAGAGACGGGATAAATAATTCACAAAATTCACATGTATGGGCAGAAGAAAATCCCCATGCTATTCGAGAACGTCGTTCTCAGTTAAGGTTTTCGGTTAACGTGTGGATTGGTGTCATAAATAACCAATTAGTAGGTTCTCACTTTTTTGATGGTCCTTTAACAGGGCAGGTCTATTTGAACTTTCTACAAAATATTTTGCCGAATTTGCTTGCCAACGCGAACGTTCTATCCGAGGGATGTATTTTCAGCATGATGGTGCACCCCCACACTTTTTACTGGCAGTGAGACAACATCTCAATAATGTTTATGGCAACAGGTGGATAGGACGTGCAGGTCCTATTTCGTGGCCTTCAAGATCCCCTGATTTCAATCCCGTTGATTACCATATTTGGGGACGATTGAAGCAACTAGTTTACGCAGTGAATATTATTAACCGACAACAATTAATTGATAGAATTATACAATGTTGTAATACTATTAGAAACGATCCCAGAGTATCCGTAATTCAATACGTCAATTAACAATTCGGCAACAAAAATGTGTACAGGCTGCAGGGTTCCATTTCGAAAATCTATTTTGAATTATTTTTATTTTGTTACCATTATTGTATCTTTTCCAGTTCTAATTTATGGGTTTATCATAACTATGTACATATTTTTAGTTTTTTTTTAAATTGTTTTTCGTTATTGTTAGTAGTTACTGTTTTTTCTTGTGCAGTAACTCAGTTTATCATTTCAATTAAAATGTTTGAAATTTATAACATTTGTTTAAATTAATTACCTTATAATTTAATATTTCATTATGGTTGTTCTATTTTTGGTAAGACTTGATCGTTCACTAAAAATTTAATAAAAGTGAGACAACATTGTCGCATATGTCGCTTTTATTGGCTATTTATGTAGTTTGAAAATCAATTATTGCATTTAAAAAAATATATATACAGGGTGTAATATTTAATACGAATCCCTAAATTAATTTTTCCAAAGCCAGTCCTGGAATTTTTTAGTTTAGCTAATACCAGTCGAATGCTTGTAGTAGTGTACTGTATCATGCAAAAATTAAAAAAATCAAATGAGCCGTATAAACACTACAGTAAAATGAAATAAATGGTCAATTACACAAATCACCCTGTTAATTAATAAAGAAGAGGAGTTGACATTTTTTAGTGGCCACATGATATGCTCCCTGAGGGACTCTACATATGGTAGAAGTATGTAAAGTTCCTCATGACTCACCCTGTATACACGGACAAGATACCACTGATTGTAGCTGCGTCATATTAACGCTCATGGAGCCACTACAAGACCAAAACGCTACGATATGCGCGCTGTAAACTGTCGCTCGTGGAGCCATAGCCTAAGATTTGAACTAACAACAACTGCAGTCGGCTATAGGATAATAGATGATAATAGGTATTCCCACCATTATTTAACATAGTCTTATAAGACTATTCATAGGAGTATTCCTGGCTACAGGAATAATTTGACATTATTAAGAGAATTTAAAACTATTGCTTGTAGTTTGGATGGATAGATTGGTTCTTGTTGTTTATTGACGATTAGTCGAATATGATAAAGGTGCTTGTGACGTAGATTTCGATAATTAATATCAAATTCCATTTTTAATCATTATTTGTTTATACTAAATACGGACGTGTTCGTATCAACACTTTAACATAGTATATTAGCGTAGTATAAGAATATTATAATTCTTACACTACGTTAATTACGTAAGAATTGTAAATATTTAATTATTTTTGCCATGATCGATCAAAAAGCGTGTCTGCCTATTCGATATCGGTGCCGGACTGACGGACTCCAGTAATAGTGACTATTCACAATATAACATTAATTTTTCATATCTTTTCTTTTTTATTATTATTCTTATATTGTTTATTCTCTTAATGGAATGAATAACACTTGTTTGATTTGTCCTTATTACTCATGTAAGCACTAAGCCAATGTTCGAGGAAAGTTCTAATAAATAACATAATTATTTTGTTTTATATATAATATATATATTATATATATATATATATATATATAAAAACATATAATGTTTAATAATTTATAAAATAATACATACCTGAAAAATTTTTAAGGCTTGCGTATTTAGAATACATTTGCATGTTGCCAAAGTTGGGAGCATTTAGAAGTTCCGTATCGCACCCGGAGAACGGTTTTTCATTTCTCGCTTCTGCAGGACAGTCACGTAAGGATAATGGCATTTCTTTTAGCAGAGTACCATCAGAACATCTCGGACTGTTTTGATTAGACTCCCTTAACCAAGATTTTAACCAAAGCATGTCACATGAACATTCCAGAGGGTTACCTGTACCAAATATTTATTAGCATTAATTATTTTATCAATAATATTTACTATTAAAATTTGCAATAAAAAATCTTTATAATTTATTAACATTAAATCATTATTAATTATCTAAATTTCATTGTACTATCATAGTCAAGTATCTTAAAGTTAGTGTTTTTATTTTCATTAGATCTAATCAAAACGATCTATTTAATGGTGAAACGATGAAATTTTACATGGCACAAAAATTTTGCATTACAAGAAATCAACATAATAAGCAGCAATAATGCATGAAAATGGACCAATTTACAAATTTGAAGGAAATTTAATAATGGTCGATAAGGATATTTATAAAAAAAAAACAATACAAAAGGAATTTCCAGAGTAATATGAAATACTCGTATTTTTATGGGTAATAATGAAACATATTGCAAGTCGATATCTACAGTATTTTAGTGCAAAGTTTTATCCATATAAATGGGTGAAAAAGGTAACTGCTTTAGAATTGTCAATGTTGTGGAACGTCGTTGATGATTTGAGATAGTGTCTTCGTCACCAGGAAATATGGATACAGTTTTTTGCAGACGATATCGTGATTTTTGTAGAATCGTAACAAAGAAAAAATTTTCTGGTTGCGTCTTGAGTCAGATGTGACTTGTGCTAAATTACATAGAGCAATTATGTCTAAAAACAAAACCTTTCAGTTACCTATTCCATGACAAATCTAGTTGCAGGAAATTTTCGGATTGAGTAGTTAGAGGTTATTTGGAGAGGAACTCTCACATTTAATGCAGTTAGAACTAGAGGAGCTAAATATTTGGGAGTAACCTTGAATAATTATAAGCTCACTTACATGAGATCTATTAACAATATTGCCAAAAGGCTACACATATCATAAAGAAGTATAGAAGAGTTGAAAGTATATAAGTAAGACACGGTAGTTAAGACCAACAGCAATATATTGCTTGTACGACCAACAACGTGTTTCTCCTTGTGCAGAGAAAGGAGCTCCTAAATATGTGACAAACGTTATAGAAAATACGCAAAGGGCATTATTAAAGGCTATCACTGATGTCTTATCATTGAAATTAAGGTCATTCTGAGACTTAAAGAAAACAATACATGGAGACCAAATGATATGTTGAATGGTCACACATACGTCATTGACACCATACTTGTGATATCCATTTTTGAGATGAACTGAGATTATATACCAGCATTTAATTTAACAGTAAAAATAAATAAGATCCAGGGAATAAGTATCTCTAATATAAATGAAGATCAGATGGGGTTTACTGGTTGGTTAAAAACTGTACGCGAAACCAGATGCTACGACACAAAAGTTTAGAAGAGAACACTCTACAGTGTTCTAGGCTTAAGTATACCAGATAGCGATATTAAAGATTATGTTTCGACTAATCAAATCATCAATTTAATACTGAAAAAAACTGTAACGACCACCCTATTAGTACGAGATAATAAATTGTATCTAACATGAGTGTTGGAGCATGAGAAACACCAAGAAAAAGAACCAACAAACTTTCTAGCTAAACAAGGCTCTAGATGAATTTTCGACCAGCCAGAACCACGCCATAACGAATGATGCCGTTATAAATAAAATTCGAAAACTGAAGATACTTACACATATGATGACTGAATACTATCGACTGAGAGAAACAACTGTAAACATAGGCATAGCAAATGAATCATAATGATTTTCAGTAAACTCTAATTAGTCCTATGGTCTCAACAAAGGACAGCAATTTTCTCATTGATAGTTAAGGGATCTCTTCAGGTTTAAATCTCAGTTGACCAGTGAATTTCTGCTTCTTATCACTTAAGACTTTGTAATGGCATATACTATGTAAGGAACTCTCTTCTTCGATTTCACATTTTCTGTCCGCAGTTCATTGTAGTTTGAAATTTACTGGTGATAATATCGATTTAATTGTTGAAAATCATAGCTGCGAACTAAAAAAATCTGCAGTTTCTACTAAAAGTTGTTTTGTTAAAGTTAAAGTGTTCTGATCCAAGAAATCTGTGAAAATTGGTGCATGTTTGCTGTTATCTTTTTCGTTTTTTTTGCTCAAAAGCAATTACCATTAAAAATCAATTACCGATAAGCGCTATCTGATTTGGAATATTTACCAGTAGCGTGTCTACTTTCCTAATTCTTTAATTTTTAATTTGACGGTTATCATAAAGTGTCACCATCATCTTTGGCTCGACAATTCTGTATGGATCCTGGCCTGCTCTAAGATTAGTGGCCATTCTGTTCGGTTTATGACAACGTGTTGCTATCTTCTGATCTCTAGTATCCCTAAGTCTGTCTCAACTCTATTCCATATCGTGGAGTGTGTTGTTTGTGAAAGAATAAATAGCAGGCTACATATGATATCTGCCAGAGGGCTACGCACAGGGACTGTTCGAATCTTTTATTGCTAAGCGAACTAAAAGTTATTAATCTTAAGGAACCAGATTATTGAAGTATTAGGGTGAAGACTGTGAAGCCGAAGTTAAATTAATTCCTACATTGCTACGAAAAATTGAGGATTTACAAAACTAGCTGCCAGAAGTAAAAATATGTATTGAAGGTTATAAGAGTAATGGTGAAATGTTATTGAGTGTGAGGAAGATTTAATTAGTGAAATTGTGGATAAATAGAGGAATGCTTCGAATATTTTGGAAAATTTGGAAAACTTGGCCGTTTTGCATATCGAATCCGCCCGGCGGATTCGATATGCAAAACGGCCAGAACATCGAGACCATGAGTGAAAATGATATGTATTAATACCTTGGAATAAAGCAAGCACAAAAGATTGACCATAAGCAAATGAAAACTGAGATAAATACTGAGTTTATACGAAGGATAAAATAGCTGCTTCGTTCACACCTTAACGGTAAAAATTTGTTTAAGGCACTGAACACCTACGCATGTTCCGCACTTAGCTACTCATTTGGGATTGTTAAGTGGAGAAAACCGGATATAGAAAATCTTCAGCGAAAAGTGCGAACACACCTCACAAAGGCACAAAAAGACCATCCTCGAGGTGCAGTAGAAAGAACGACATTACCTCGGTATTCAGGAGGTTGAGGACTTATGGATATAAGCGAGCACTTAGAAAAACAGATTACTAATTTAAGAACTTATTTTCAGGTGCAGCTGGAGACATCTACTCTTCATCGCGCGATTTGTGCAGTAGATGACACAACACCAATCAAACTGAGGGAACTAGAAATGCGCATAAACCATCTTACTAAGGACGAAAAAATGCGCACCTGGATGGGCAAACCTCTACACGGGCGACATCCCAATGAGGTCAGTCAAGACCATGTCGACAATATAGCGTCGAACTATTGGCTGACATCAGGAAATATCTTCCCTAAAGCAGAAGGTTCACTACTGGCTATTCAGGATCAGGTTATAACAACCAAAAATTACCTGAAATATATCGTCAAAGACCCTCATGTCCAAAATGACAAGTGCCGATATGGATGCCAAGCTCAGGGAACCATTTAACATCTTACTGGGGACTGTCAGGCATTTGCTGCAACTGAATATAAGGAACGGCACGACTCAGTAGGAAAGATCATTTATCAAGAGATAACTAATAAACTACGACTTCTTCAAACAAACCATCTTCCATATTATCAATACGTTCCTGAGAGTATAATTGAGAATGACAACTACAAGCTATACTGGGACCGCACGGTGCTCACAGACCAAACAGTGGCATATAATCGACTCATACTAGTTAATAAACTAAAGAGACAAACAACATTAATTGATGTGGTTATACCCAACAACAATAATCTTTGTGTTAAACAGAACGAAAAAATCGTCAAGTACAAGGATTTGGAAATTCAAATACGAAGACAGTGGAGAATGGAAAGTACCCAGACAATACCTATTATTCTCTCTACTACTGGAGTCATTCCAAAGAACCTCCTAGAAAACATAAAAAAGCTAGATCTGAATGAACATCTCTACAAGACCATGCAGGAAGCTGTACTACTCTCAACGTCCAGATGTGTACGAAAATTTTTGGGAGATACTCCAGCAATACAAGTCACCTAGGGCTCGGTAACACGGAAAGAGTCCCCCCACCAGAGCTCAATTCGTAGGTGTCTGGGATGAGTGAATTTTCCCCTTAGAGGGAGTTTATGACTAAATCTGTATAGACCCACAATAATTATTGCCAATAAAAATAATATAGATAATAAAAAAAAAACTAAAAATTGCAACTAATATACAACTTAATAGAGATGTTATTTATTGTATATATATATATATATATATATATATATATATATATATATACATATATATATATATATACATATATATATATATATATATATATATATATATAATATATAGATATATATATATATATATATAATATATATATATATATATATATATCTTAAACGGCCAAATATATGGCCTAGGAGGGCAAATTCATTAAACTTCCCGTTCTCGAATCGATATCAATAAAGTGTTATGATCATTTCGGCCTATCCCAGCCTCATCAGACACTTGGTTTGATACAAATTCAAACTCGGAAAGTCCAACGAATGTCTCCCAAAACTTCACTACAACGTAGTTGGTTCTTAATTTTCCAGTTTCAACAAACCACTTTTTTATTTTGGTGGTCAATTTCAATTTAGATAAATTTTCAAGTACTTTTTATGTCAGAAAAATAAATAATCAAATGTTGGGCTATTATAATGTTAAAAAAATTTAAAATTTCAGTCAGAGTAATATTTTGATATTGCTTTAATATGGACTCAATTTTTAATGAGCTATATTTAAGTTGTGAGATAGGACTCAATAAAACTGCACCTATTCAGATCTGCCGGTTTAACTTAAAGCTACCATTGTTTGATAATGAAGTTTACTCTCTAATAAAATTCGGGATAAGGCATATAGAACATTTAAAATATCACTTGAACTATTTAAACAGGAGTTGTAGAGTAATTTTAAAAGATATCGTAATCAAGTAATTAGTTTTTTTACT